AACTGATACGCTACCCTCCGTAATGGCTGTCATGGCGATCTTTAATATGCACAGTTAATGTCTTATGTAAAGTGCATATAAACGAGTCTTTAAATCTTTCGCTGCTTTTCTTGATTTTTAATATACAAAGGGAGCACTATTTACTGAAGACAGCCCCCTCACCGTGTTTTCCAACCGGGTAAGTCCTACCCACAGCCCATGTTCCTCCAGGACTTCCGGGTGTGCCCTTGGGCAGCTGTGACTCTCCGGTGCCTCGGCCGGGTCTCATTCGAGAACGGCCAGTCCGCTGGCCCTGGGGTGGCTGGGGCTCTGCCAGCCCCAACGTGCCAGACACCTCCTCGCCCACTTCAGGCAGAGCTTCTGCCAGCGGTGGCCCCTCCGGGACTCTGGCAGTGGTCATCCACCTGGAAGGGGGATGCTGGCTTAGCACAGTGGGGACCGCAGCTCCTGGCCCCACAAGTCCTGCAGGCCCCGCTGCTTGGTCAGGCCCATGTGCTCATGGGGCCACTCACCATGGGGGGCAGAGGGGTGGGCAGCCCAGAGGCCCAGCAAGGGCTCAGCAGGAGAGCTTCCTGAAGAAGGGGGTTCCAGGCCGGTCCTGAGGATGATGAGAGATGGGAGGAAGGGAAGGGGATTCCAGAGGGAGGATGACCTGGGGTTCTCAGGGCCCCTGAGGTCAGCCTGAACAGACAAGGGGCCCTCCGGGGAGGGGGTGCGTGGCAGGTGGAACAGCGCATTCTGGGGGCTGGCAGGGGCCGTGGGGCAGGCAGAGCCCTCCAGGAAGGAACTTCCTGGAAATCTGAGCAAATGGTGTTTGTTAGGACAAAGCGCCTGCTCCCTTACAGAGGCGGGTCCCCAGAGCACCCTCTCTCTCTTCTCACGGAAAGCAAGATTTGCAATAATGCAGTGCATTAGCGCCAAGTGGGGAGGGCGGTCTGATCCCACCCCAGGGCGATCGATGCCTCTGCTGACTGACAGCCCTTTAGAGCTGCCCAGGGGACGGGAGGGAGGCCGTGCTAATGGGCACTGGGAGCAAGGCAGAGGCCCCTCAGCCCCTCCAGCCTGAGCTCCCCGCTCCCTCACCTGCCCTCTGTATATTGTGGGGGCACCTTTCCTCCCCAGCAGAGACAACATCAGCCTCCCTTCTCTGCCCACAAAGAAGGCCCCATCTCCACACACCTCCCTGCCACCCTTGGGATCCCAGAGGGAGGACGTTAGCCAGAACCATGGCCAATAGTCAGCTCCGAGGTGCGCTGGCGGGCAGAAAACGGCTCTCTGATGGGCCAGCAGGGCCAGGCCCCGTCCAATCCCGTTAACTCCTGCGCCCAACAGAGCGGCGACACACACTAGGCACTTCATATGATTTGGAAAACTGGCCTGAATTACTGTCATTGGCATCTGTCTTGAACCCAAGTGCTACCAAGTGCGGGGGAGCTGCCCACCTTGATTCCATCCTCCCCCTCCCCCTCCCAGGGGTGGGGACACAGGCCAGGTGGAGATGGGCCTCCCTGTTGCCCAGCAACGCCATCCTCCATGCCTGGCCTTGTGACGGTCAGTTCCCAGTGGTGCCTGGGCTGTGCAGGCTCCTGTCTGGGTTGAGACCTGGGAGCTGAGGTCCCTGGCCTGGGCCTGTCCCCACTTCAGAGTCTCCCCTGGGCCTCCAATGGGCTCAGGATCTGGGACTAGGGTCTCCCTGTGCCCCCCATGGCCCCTGCTCCATGGACTCCAGGACCACTCCCCGGATGTCGGACCCAGCTCTGGGTGCTCCTGGAGTTCAGAGGCAGCAACTCAGCCCTGCCTCCTGGGTCCCGGTCCCTCTTTGCTTTCAGCTGCACGGCCTCTGGAGCTCCCCTCTGCCCCCTGGCCAGGCCGAGGTGGAGCTAGGGGGGTTGTCCACTGGCTCAGAGGGCCAGCAACCAGGTGTCTCAGCTCATGGGTGAGACACCAACACCCAGGGGCTAAATTCACTTCTGAGGCCAATTCCAACAGCCAACCCGAAGCCAGGGAACGGAGACAGGGCAATGCTCCCCCTCTGCCCTCCGAGCTCAGACACCCAGGCTGGGCGGGGCGGAGGGTGCAGGGGCTGAGGGGGCTGAGGGCCAGGCCTGGCTCCTGGGAAGGACGGGGTGGGTGATGAGGGTAAGCTGTTGGGCCGAGGCCGGTGGGTGGGTAGGGGCCTGCAGCTGCTCACGTGTGGCCCAGGGCCCGCCTGGTGACCTTGCCCTTCTCCTCCAGCCACTTAGCTGGCTGCTCACCCCCTCCTGGTGGAGACAGAGCAGCCCCGGCTCCATCAGCTAAGTGGCTCCGCCAGCCTCCACTGCTCCCGTGAGGACGTCCGGGCGAGGTGTGCTGTCCGGCTCGGCCTATTTTCAGGCCTCTCTGGGCTAAGTGCTGTGTGGAGCCCGCCCCTCAGCCGCGGGCCCTCGAGGGGCTGGCGTTCTCTGACCACAGGGCACATGGAGGCTGGCACGGGCACCCCGTGCACTCACTTGGACTGGCAATTCTAGGAAAGACATCCTTTCCTGCTGCCGAAGTGTTGTCTGCGAGACTGTCTGCAGCAGACCCTCCCGGACCTCCAGCAGGAAGGAGCCGCGCCGCCTCTCCTGGGGCAGGTGTTGGCGCCCTGGCGCTGCCACACGGCTGACCGGATGCTGAGGATGCAGGAACACCTCTTCCCCCACAGTGTGACACCCACATGCCCACAGACATTGCCAAAGTCACCCCAGGGAGGAGAATAAGGGGGGTGGTAGTCCCACAGGCCTTGGGGTGCCCACAGCAAGCTGATGTGAGAGGCCCCTGTGTATGGGGGGGTTGGGGCCTGGCGACCCCCAGTCACACTGCAGGTGGGACCCTGACTCCTCTTGTATGGCAGGGGATGGTAGGAGCAGCCCAGCCCCAGCGGGCATCAGGCCACAACCCACCCCCCCAGAAGGAGGCCACACATCCCAGGTCCCCGCAGGCCCAGACCCCACTTTCGCCTGCTGGGGCTCTGGGGGTGCGGGTGGGGGGGGCGCATCAGACTTCATCCATCTGGCAAGTGGGCTCCAGGAGGCCCTGGAAACCAGAGGTCAGAGGCAGGAAGACTGGAGCCTGCAGCCCAGGCCGGGGCTGGACACTCCGCAGCCAGGCGGGCGGACCGTGGCTCAGCGCTTGCAGCAGGGACACAGAGAGGTAGGGGGTTGCCAGAAGTCACAGTGTGCAAGCGGGTGGGAGGCTCACCGGGAGGGGTGTCAGTTTCAGGGCAGCTCTGTGTCCTTGATCAGCGCCTCCAGAGGGGCAGGGTGGCGGGGGGGCAGGCAGGAGGCAGGGGTGGATGAGAATACCTCCACCGTCCTCTGTGCCTGCCTCTGGGCTCTTATCTGCAGCCTGCACACCTCTAATCAGCTGACAGAAGCGTTTGCAGATGACGTTGCTGCAGCCTCTTAGCATTAGAGCGGCTGCTCGAACCCCAGCACCTTTGCTGGGACTGTCCAAGGTTGTCTGGGCTACGACTCACCCAGAACCTGAGACTGGGGGCAGAGGGGCCACCGGAGGCAGGACAGGAGGGCCCAAAGCCTGCTACAGACCCGGCCACCCCCGGGGCAGTGGAGGTGAGAGGACACCCTCTGAGGTCACTTCCAGGCCCTGTACCTGAATCCCCCGGGCTGCAGCTCAGGGCTGGCCTGGGTTTGGGTTATTGCTGCGTGGGGGCTGGGACAGCCATGTGTCCCCCAGGCTGCACAAGGACCCCTCTCATCTTTGGGGCAGACTCCTCCAAGTTCTTCTTCCCGGGGTCACACGGGCAGTGTGGTCCAGAAGGGACATGAGACGGGGGAGCAAGCACCCACCGAGACCTGCCGGACTGGATCCCAGCATCAGGGCCGCTAGGATGGCCAGTGCCGAGGCTGAGAACGGGAGAGGCAGGCGGCCACACCAACAGGGTCAAGATGGTCCCTCTGTCCCACCGATGGGGCCTGACCTGCCACAGTCACCACCACCCCTGAACACCCCGCTAAAAATAACCCCAGCCCAGCCCTGCACTGCCCCTCCCCGCACCTTCCCTGGGCCTTGCCCTGCCTGGCCCCCATGATAGGGCCTGTGTATCCCGTTACTCCCGTGTGGCAGGATGGCAAAGTCACCTAGAGCAGCGATTTCCAACCTTTGCCACCTCACGGCGCACAGAACCTAGTCACTAAAATTCTGCGGCACACCAAAACATATATTATGTTTCTGCTGATCTGACAGAAGAAATAGGTATAATTTTGATCCATTCATGCCAGACGGCTATTGTAGTGTTGGCTGTTGTCATTTTTTTTGTTTGACACTCTAAGGCAGTGGTTCTCAACCTTCTGGCCCTTTGAATACAGTTCCTCATGCTGTGACCCAACCATAAAATTATTTTCGTTGCTACTTCATAACTGTAATGTTGCTACTGTTATGAATCATAATGTAAATATCTGATATGCAGGATGGTCTTAGGAGACCCCTGTGAAAGGGTTGTTCGACCGCCAAAGGGGTCGCGACCCACAGGTTGAGAACCGCTGCTCTAAGGGAAAAGAGGTCAGTGCCCCAACTAAATAGTCGGGTTGCATGTTTTAAAAATTCTTGTGGCCACCAGCTGAAAATCACTGGCCTAGAGGGTTGGGGGGCCTGCGAGTACCTTCCTGCCCCGCCGCCCTTCATGCTCTCAGCCCAGCAACCCTGCCATCTACACTCCGACCCTAGGATCTGCCAACCGGGACAAGGGCTTTCAGGATGTGGGTGTGGTCACTGGCTTGCGTTGGCTCATCAGTTCAGTCATTTCCACGGGGCCTGCTGGGCCCACCTGGCTGAGGGGGGAGGGGTGAAGGTGCCAAAGCCCGACAGGCTCTTCTGGGCCCACCCGGTGGCAGGACACAAGCCGGGAGAAGAGGTACGTGGACATGGGCAGGCAGCACGGGCGGTGGCGCCCAGGCCCGGTGGGGGAAGGAGGGGCTGGGGAGGGGCTGGGCCTGGGGAACTGTCCCTGAGACCACCCTTACTTCTGACACAGACTTCAGGCCCAGGCCCCGCAGAGCCTCTCTGAGCCCGTGCAGCTGGGCGTCCTGTGGGTCCTTCCGGATGGAGGCCACGGGGGCCTGGGTCTCTGTGTCCAGCAGCTCTGGGTAGCGACCTGCGTCCTCTGGCCGCCGGACAAGAGGGGCTCTGACAGCCCCCAGTGCCAGCCGGGCTCCTGCTCCGCACGGGCTTCTTCCCCTGGGTCGCCCATGACTCTCGCTGCTGGGAGGTTCCTGAGGTGTTTTCCAAAGGCTCTGCCCTTCTCCGGTCCAGAGCTGGAGCCGTCTCAGAGCGGGGGTGCCACCCTGGCCTCAGAGCCTCCTGGAGGGCTGGGGGTCATTAAAGCAACCCCTCTAGCCCCCCGACTCCAGAGATGACTGGGGCAGGCTGCTGAGAGGAGCCTGCGCCTCCCCGCCCAGGCCGGCTGTCTGCCCACTTTGGGTCCAAATCCCCGGCCTGGACCCCGGATGGTGCTGCCCCTGAGGCCACATCCTATCCCCCCATTGCCTGCCTGGGTCATGAAATGGCTTTAGTCTCCTCATCTGTGAAAGGCTGGTTGGGAGGCAGGTGAGGTCCTGCCCTGCCCACGGTGACCGAGCCTCCGTGGGATCTGAAAGGGTCGTCACAAAGGACAGATGTGGGGGCAGAAGGGGACTGTGGTGCAGGGGCCTGGTAACCCCCACCCGTGGCCTGTGGGCAGGCTGTCCTTGCTCCTGGCTGCTGAGCTCCAGGCGGGGCGGGGGCTGGGCTGGGTGCCTTCTACCCATCCGCCCACCCGCGGCCCAGGCGTCAGCGGCCTTATCATGTCAGCCTGTTCCTGGCCCTGCTCAGGCAGACGCAAAATCTCTCCGAAATCCTGTATTTAATTTTGTTCTCTGGGAAACTGTAGGAGGTTTTGGAGATAAAGCTGAGCTGATAAGTCGGGGATTTGGCTGTCCTACCCCAAACTCCTGGGCTGGGAGGCCGGTCAGCTGGGCCGGGCTTAGGAGCCCCCCTCGCTCCACCCCCATCTACAGTGTTCAAGGTCAGGAGGCTCCCGAGGGTGACAAGCGTGAAGGACACCAGGGTGAGCATGACATGCATGGGGGCCAGACCCCAAGGGCTGCCAAGGCGCTGGGGGCAGTGGGTCCATGCACTGCAGGAGCTTGGGGGGCTACATGTCATGGGGGGGTGCTGATGCTCAGCTGCCCCGGGGCCTTCCCTTGAGGGTATGGTATCAGTCCCTGCCCTCGCTGGATGCTCTGCCCCACTTAGCAAACACCCCCACCTTCTGGAACATTTTCCACGTCCCTAGTTTGATGGGGTGTGGCAGGCAGTCCTGCAGATTTTATTATTTTATTATTTTCAAGACCCCTGGAAGGCGGAGCTGGAAGCCCCTCGGTGCACTGCCATGTTTTCAGAGTCATGGTCCTTGAGACTTTTCAAGTGGCATCTGGGTGATAAGAAGAACAGGCCCCGAAGAACCGAACACAGTGTCCGAGCTCTCAGAACTGTGTGTGTCCGTGTTCACAGTAGGTCTGTTTTCAGCAGCCCACACCCGGAAACGACCCAGGTGTCCATTACTGGGCGAGTGGGCGAACTCAACGGGGCCATCCACACAGCGGAATAGCATGCAGCCACGAAAAGGAACGAGGCCCTGCTGGCCTACAACATGGTGGGCCTTGGAAACATTCCAAGTGACGGAATCCAGACGCCAAGGGCCCCGCCTTGTGTGGCTCCATTGTCATGAAACGTCCGGGACAGGCAAATGCACAGAGACGGAGAGCAGGCTGATGATTGCCAGGGGCTGGGGGCGGGGAGCGTGGGGAGCATGGGGAGCCAGGGCTTCTGTTTGGGGCTATAGAAAGTTCTGGAACTAAATACAGATGGTGGTTTCACAACCTTGTGAATGTACGAAAGGCCGCCCAACCGCACACTTTAAAATGATAAAAATGACTAATTTTCTGTTGTGTGTGCTCTACCACAATAAAAGAAAGCAGTGATAATGAAAACCAATGTGTCTGCGGGGCTTGCTACGGGCTAGGCACTGTCCGAGGTGCTGTTTCTCTGACCTTTCTTGGTGGCCTCACCTTTGCAGACTGGCAAACGGGTGCAGGCAGGGGCCCGCGCCCAGGCCACCTGCGAAAACAGCTGGCGCTGGGCCTCCACCTCGGTCCTGCTCCGCGCCATCGGCCAGAACTCTCTTTGTAAAGCTGACTTCATATCTCCACGTCGATCCATCCTGTGTCCAGCGCCTCCTTTTTCATCGACTGTCTGACCTTCATCTGCCTCCTGCAAGTGGGACCTTCACATTGTTTCATTTTGGACTTTTATAGCTTCTTCTAAAAACTGCTTCGCTTGGACATGTCTGGAGTTAGTTCCGGAGGGAGGGGGTTCTGAGGGGCGGGGGGTGAAGGTCAAAGCCCCTCCTCGCCGGCCTCTCTGGGTGGGTGAACAGGATGGGGAGCCTGGCAGGTGCGCCCGCTCACCTGTTTCTGGACCCTCCCGGCCTTCTCTCCCACCTGCTCCGGCCTCTCCGCCCAGACGGCCTTGGGCATTGCCCAGAAAGGACATCATGCCGGGGGCTGGCACTAAGATATTCTCCGGTAGGAGCGAGGCCAGGGCAGAGGCTCTCAGACGGGGAGCTGGCCACGCCAGGAGCTGCACACACGGAAGGCTCCGTGCCACACAGCCCCGGTGCTGTTATCCAGATCTGCTGTCCTTGTCACACGCCCCAGAGCCCAGCCACAGGCTTGGGGACATCTTGAGTGAGCGGACCAAGGTGTTGGCAGCTGCCTGGGGCTGGGCAGAGCCCCCTGCCCCTCACCAAGTCCTGGAGGAGGACATAGCTGCCCGGGAGCCACACAGAGTATCCACTTCCTGGCAGATGAACTGAGTGAGTCACACGTGTGATGCCCTCCCTGGGTGAGGGGTGGACAGGAGAGCGTCAGTGGTCCTTAGTCCCCACCTTCTGGCCACTTCCCGGGGGCACAGGCTCGGGAGCTGAGAGCAAGTCCTCAGGCCCCCTCAGTTTCCCTCCCACCTGGGCTGGGGGCCAGGCCTCTGACTGCTTCCTCACGCCCTGCCTAGCCTTCCTGCCCACACTCACGTCCTCTGTCTCCCCCATTGGCCCTCCCACGCCTGACACCTCCCCAGGGGAGGGGGCCTCCACAGCTGCCTTGGGACCAGCAGCTGCACACACCTCCCCTCCTCCCCACAGCCTGAAGGTGCTCCACCCCCAGGCTGGACTGTGTGCTCTTCAAGCTTCGGTGGAGGGGACCCTTCCTCCAGGAAGCCCTCCTGAGCATCCCTCAGCTGAGCCTGTGCCCCTGCCTCCTGTCCCTTCTCTGGGCTCCTGCATGTGGGGGCAGCCCCTTCCCTTCCTGCTCCTTGGCTTCTCAGACACCCAGCATCTGCTGTGACCATGCCCAGCTCAGAGCTGTCTGAGCCACTTCAAATCCTCCTGTTATTAAAATGTTCCGCTGGCCCCGAGGGAGGCAGCCAGGGACGTGCTCGGCCCGGCCTCGGCAGGTGCATCTGTGCAGAGACTGGAGAGCTCCTTGAGTTTTCATTCCAGCTGGGACATCGGGGCGGCACAGCTGGGGGTCCGGGAGGCCAGATGGCCAGGTCGCTGCTCCAGTGCCTTGGGTCCCGCGGGGCCCCTCCGCCTTCCCACCTGTGACCTGGGGCCCGTTATGCCCACCGGGACGGCAGGGGAGTGCCGGAGGCTGTGATGCTGAGAAGGGACAAGCTCCTGTCTCCCCATCTCGCAATTTCTGGGCCAGGGATAAAGCAAGGTGGGATCAGGGGGGCTGGGCTGACCCACAGGCCCGCCACGGTGGCTGCAGGAGCCTCAGCGCCGGCTGGGGGCAGGGCCACCACCATTCCCCCGTGTGGCAGCCCTGCTCCAGGCTGGGGTCCCTGGCCCTGCAGCCACTTCCCAACTGGCCCTGGGCCGGGTCTGCAAGACGTCCTCCGGAGCTCAGGGTGGAGGCCAGGGCAGCCTCTGGCCGGTCCTTCGGGCCCTGGTGGGCGCTCCTGTCCTCAGGCCTGGCCACAGCCGGCTTCCATACAGCCAAGTACCTGGTGGACAAACGGTTCTGGAACTGCTATCGCCCCCACCCGCCACCCTGCCAGCCCAGGGTCGTTCCTAAGGCACTGAGCTCTGCTCCAGCTCATGTGTTCTAGAGGTTCCTAGAGGGCTCCCAGCGGAAAGGGTCTGTGTGAAAAGCCGGTTCTAGATCAGAGGTGGCCAGTGGTCCCACCCTGAGTGGGCCCGGTGTGTCCACTGCCCCTGGGGAAACCGAGGCACAGAGAAGCTTGAAGGCATTCCTCAGGCCACACCAGCCCTGAGGGCCCCTGACCTGCCCACGAGGGCAGACTGGCTCAGGGGGGCGGGGGGGATTGGGAGAGCCTCAGGCTCTGGTTCCCCAACACCACATGTATGAAGCAACTGCTCTACTCTGCGAGGTTTAAAGCACAGTGAGGGGTGCCCGTGCCGAGGTCAGGGCCTGGGGAGGAGGCACCTCCAAGCGAAGCCGAAGCCGCAGGAGCCAGGCTGGTGTGTCTGAGGAGGTCCTGGGGCTCCTGGGGCCCTAGTGGGGGTGGGACAGGGGCAGGATGGCGGAGGGACAGGGCTTCTGCAGGTTATGCTGGGAGTGGGATGTCCGGAGAAGAGGACTGGGAGGTGAAGGGGGGGGTCCCGTGGGAGGAGCCAAGGGGTGGAGGGGTGAGGGGCCATCCAGGCCAGAGTGTTGTTGGGCTGGCAGAGGTGAACGCAAGAGGCACTGGCTGCCCCTCACATGGCATTTTAAGCCAATGGCGCCCTCTGCTGCCCATGTGGGGCATCACCCCCGCATTGGAACTCTGCCCAGCATGGGGATAAGGGGGGTTTGTGCCCCACACTGGGCATACAGCTTGCCCCCCTCCCAGGCCTCAACCATAAGCCTTTCCCTGGGTGGCCTGGGTGTACTGTCCCCAGGGAAGGACCTGTGGGGCAGATGTGGGAATCTGATTCCAGGCGCCATGGAGGCTGAATTCAACTCCCCATCGAAGACACTTACACAGAGGGAGACCCCACGGGGACAGGTGAGACAAGCAGGAGCTGACAGGCCCGGCCCCAGGCACAATGCCTCCTCTGACAGATGCCAGCCAGGACGGGTGGGGTTAGGACCTGCCTGGCCCTTTAAGAGGGCTGTTGGGGGTGGGTCCCTGTTGCCCAGCAACAGGAGGGCTTGGCATTTACCTGTCGCCAGGAGACCTGGAGACGTCCTGCTCTGGGGACAGAGAGGCCAGAGCTGCTCTGCTGACCGTGCCAAGTGCCCTACCCGCCCACCCGTGCCCAGGCCAGTGGCACCATGGCTCAGACGGACGTGCTCCTGACCAAGCAGCCCGCCCCGCAGACAGTGCCGGCGTGCGAGCTGCCCCCCAAGCTGTACGATGTGGCCCGCAACACAGGTGCCCACTCGTCCGCAGGCCTGGCCACTGCTGGCTTCCGCACCGCCAAGTACCTGGTGGACGAGTGGTTCCAGAACAGCTATGCCAGTTACCACCAGGCCTTTGCCGACCGCGACCAGTCGGAGCGGCAGCGCCACGAGAGCAGGCAGCTGGCTGCGGAGACGGGGGCCCTGGCGCAGCGCACGCAGGAGGACTCCACCCGGAAGGTGGGCGAGCGCCTGCAGGACATGCACTGCTGGAAGTCGGAGCTGCAGCGGGAGGTGGGCGAGCTGGTGGCGGAGACTGACCTGATGCTGGCCCAGAAGCTGCGGCTGGAGCGCGCCCTGGACGCCACAGGGGTGCCCTTCTCCATCGCCACCGACAACCTGCAGTGCCGTGAGCGCCGCCAGCACCCCGACCTCGTTCGCGACTTCGTGGAGATGGAGCTGCTGAAGGTGTGAACCCCTCGGGCTCTCGGGGACCCGCACCTGGGCCAACCTCACCTTTCTGCCAGAAGGACCTGCACAGAGCCTGGTGGTGGATACAGGTGTATCCCCATCACACGGGCTGGCAGAGGCCTTGGTGCCCGTGCCCCTCTGCACACACAGGCACAGAGAAGCTGGGACTAGGTCGGGACTAGGACTGACTGGGTGCTGGGGCAGCCTGGGCTGGGGGCGGGTCAGGGTGCGGCCCCGGAGAGAGGCATTGTCCCTCCCACCAGGTGTGTGTCTAGTCTGACCTCCCCATGGTAGGCTTGGGGCACCACAGCCCAGACAGGCTGGGTTGCGGGCACTGTGGCCTGGGAGCCCCCGTGTGAGGGCTCAAACACATCCGAGGGCTGGGGCAGAAACTTGTCCCAATCTCGTGTCCAGCGCCCCTGAAGTTCTGCCCCCAATTATTGGTCACACGGCGGGGGTGGGGGTAGACAGGGCCCACGCTGTGGCAGGATTTATACCCAAGATATGTGTTGGGGTCGTTACCTGTGGATGGAACAGGCAGAGGCTGCGGAGGCAGGGAGAGGCCCAGCCAGTCCACCTCACCAGCCCTGACACCCCTCTACATACCATACACCCGAGTACGGGGAGGGGCTGGGGTGAGTCTTGGGGGCAGCCGTCTGAGATTGGAGAATGCGAACTGCTGAATGATCCCTTGGTTACCTCAACTTCTGGTGCCTGCTGGGCAGCCCCTTGGATCACCCTGGTCATGCAAATGAAGCCTGGCCCTGGGCCCAGGAGGCTGAGCGCCCTCCCCCAGGACACGTGTGGTGGGAACCCAGGCACCAGCCAGGGGTGTGCTGTGATGGGGCGAGAAAAGGGGGGAGGCTACCTTTATTCCACAAGGATCCCCACCCTCAACCCGCAGGACCTGTCCTAGGGCGGCCCCATAAGCAGAATCAGTCCAGGAGCCTGATCCTGGGGGGCAGTTCCCACACCTCTCCGCCTGGGGCCTCACCTATGAACAAGATGTGGGTGTGTGTGAGGGATTCAGAGACACACAGCTGCCCCAGAGGCTCAAGGCATCCCCTGCACCAGTGGTCGGCAAACTGCGACTCGCGAGCCACACGCGGCTCTTTGGCCCCTTGAGTGTGGCTCTTCCACAAAATACCGACTTCTGCGCATGGGCCACGAAGTTTCAATCGCACTGTATGTGCACACCCGCACGTGGTATTTTGTGGAAGAGCCACACTTGAGGGGCCAAAGAGCGGCATGTGGCTCGCGAACCACAGTTTGCCGACCACTGCCCTGCACCATCCC